CCCTTTCGCTTCCAGAGCCACATGCACCCCCCGAGCCACAGTTTGGCCACCCCTGGGCTAGGAGGCTTTTATATCCTGCTGGCTGCTTTCTGCTTGGGGGGGGGTGGGGGGTGGCGGCGACGAAGGTTTCAATGGAAAAGGTGAATTTAGCAGAAGTCCCCAGTCGTAGATTCTGTGGATTACTTAGATTCTTCTGGAAAGTATGGCTGGACAAGATGTTGTTTAAGAGCTGTATGTACCCTCTGGTGGAGACTGTCAGGAGGTTTGGAGTGTGGGGGGGGAGGGGGCAGCTCTCCCTCTTCCTTAAGGAAGTGTGGTCTTGGCCTCCTTGCCTGATGCAGTGGTGGAGTGGCTAGGTGAGAACTGGTTGAAGCGGAATCCATCTAACATGGAGATGATGCAGCTGAGGACGCCCCGGACCACTGGGGTGGCCATTTCTACCAACCCTTGATGGGATCCGACTTCCTACGGTCGACTCCATCAGGAGTTTAGGGGTATGGCTTGGTTCTTTGCACGGACAAAAAAAGGGCGGGGGGGGGGGGACTGAACCTAAAACCTAGAATTCAGAACCTATAAAGGTTAGGTATTTCTCTTCTTTGTCCAGTGGTTTTTTGTTTGATAATATATTTACTAAGTATTTGTTAGTTGTAGTATATGTGTCTGATTGTCTATTTTATTTTTACAGCAATTGTTTTCTGGTCTCCATTGCATATTCTGTATATGTATGATTGTATATATTTTTACATATCAGCCAACATGTTCTATTTGTATTAGACCTCTGAGGAAGGTCTGTAAAGGCCGAAACGCGTTAGGTCTATTTCATCAGCCTTTGTATGTTTTTATATTTGTATATGAGGTATGAATGGGCCCTTATTCGTTATTTTAATTTGTGTTTAATAAATACATGTATATTTTTTAGGTTTCATAATTAGATTTTAAGAGTTGGCCCTCTTCTATTCTTGACTAACCTTTATTGGTTCTTTGCTCACCATGGAAAATCGTGTCCTCAGTGACAGACGCCGGCCCTGCCAACTGGCTCCCTATCGGTCTTGGAAGGACCCTGCCACAGTCATTTATGCAATGGTCACCTCGAGGCTGGACTATTGTAACGCATAGTACGCAGGGGGCTACCCTTGAAGATGCTTTGGAAACTGCAAGTGGTCCCAAATACAGCTGTCAGATTCCTGACTGGAGTGTCCCAATCAGCTCATGTAATACCTATCCTGTGGCAGCTGCACTGGTTCCCAATTAGTTTGTGATGCCAGTTCAAAGTGTTTAAAGCCCTAAACGGCCTGCGACCCTCATACCTTTGGGACTTCCTCTCCCAGCACGATCCTCCCTGTCTTCTCTGATCTTCATGTTGGCATTTATTGAAGGTCCCTGGTCCACGAACTGTCCGCCTTGTGTCAAAAAGAGCGAGGGCCTTCTCAGTAGTGGCTCCCGTCCAGTGGAACCAGCTGCCCGAAGAGGTGCGTGCCTTGCGCGGGACCTCCCGAAGTTCCCCGTGGCATGCAATGCTGCTCTTTTTCGGGCGGCCTGTGGGTGACTGTGACCCACCGGGCAGCTGGTATTGCTTCAGCTGCGTCTCCACCGTCCACGCATCCCACCCTGCTTGATAGCAGATAGATTTTTAATTCCCTGATATTTTAAAAGTTTACTTAATGGTAGCTTTTGTATTATTTTCATCGGGTGTGTTTTACATGGCGTTAACCACTCCCAAGTCCCGTTCGGGGGAGACAGAGCGGGATATAGATTTGATAAATAAAAGAAATAAAACCACCAAGTGCCACAAGCTGCTGACTGTCGGCCCCTTTATTAGGAAGTGTGTACCAGTTGGCCCAGGCGGGTCCGATCTCATCAGTTCCAGGAGGCTAAGCAGGGTCGGGCCCGGTCGGTATTCGGATGGGAGACCACCAGGGAAGTCCAGAGCGCTGACAGCCTCCTTTCCCTCCCCCTCCCCACAACAGACACCCTGTGAGCAGTGTTCCCTCTAAGCTGAGTTCGTGTGAGCCAGCTCACAGTTTTTTAGCCTCCGGCTCACACATTTCTGTCTCGGCTCAGGAAGGGATGGCTCCAGAGCAAACTAACTTATGCAGTAGCCAAAGTGCCCACTCACAACTTTAATGCCGGTAGCTCACAAAGTTGAATTTCTGCTCACAGGACTCCACAGCTGAGAAGGGAGCCTTGCCTGTGAGGTAAAGTTGGCAACCCCCGATTTGGGCCCGTTTGGCTTCCCTGGCCTTCCTTTGCCATGTGTAACGTGCTGACAATAAAGGGGGTTGCAGTATGATAGTAACCAACACGACAGAACTACTGCAAAATGTGCAAAATGTACATACTCCAATTTGTATCTATAACATCAATAATAGCAATACAATGTTTTCACAGAGAATAAGAACGTCTCAAGAATGATGAAGACGTCTCACAGATGAGCAGATGGACGAACTCTCCCGGAGTTGACATTTGTTTCGGGCGTCTTTTTCACACATAAACAACTCAGTTGAGTATCCTCACGGTTACAAATCCTCCAAATTGGACATTTATTTGTTCCTATACATCTTGAAGTTATTCACAAAGTGCTCCTTTTCATAGAATCAGTAACGGGCTAACTAGTTGTTTATGTGTGAAAAAGACGCCCGAAACAAATGTTAACTTCATCATTCTTGAGACGTTCTTATTCTCTGTGAAAACATTGTATTATTATTGATGTTATAAATACAAATTGGAGTATGTACATTTTGCACATTTTGCAGTAGTTCAGTCGTGATGTGTAACGTGCTGAGCAGGGAGGACTATGCGGTCAGAGCACTACCAGGTTTTACAGTTCAAAAAGAAGGTTTAATCAAACTATGTACAAGGTTATGCACAGACATAGCACAAGCCCTTCAACACAACCGGGCAGAAAATAAACCGCATCAAACCGCAACTCCTCTGTCCCTGCACACACCCCGACCCCTGATCTGACGACCTCCGTAGTGGGTGGCTGCAGGACAGGACTCGCTCTCCCCCTCTTTGTCGTGGGAGGGGAACTCCAGCCCCTCCCTCAGGAATGGCCACCGATGCTGCCGCCCTCCTGGCTCTCCACCACGATTCATAGTGGCCGGGCTGGCCCACGGAGTGTGAGGTAGCTGGGGTCCCACCCACGCGCAGCCCCTCGAAGCTGTGGTCCGAGGCCGAGACGAAGGCCGGACGGGGACCGGGTTCAGGTTGTCTTCCTCTTTGCCCTGCAGTTACGAGACTTTTCAAGAGCATCTGTCTGTCCTCTGTCCTTTCCCACAGATACCCCAAGAAGCTGGAACTTCTTGCACACCCTGTCCTGGGTGCTGAACCTCTTTGGGATCTTCTTCATCCTGGCCGCTCACGAACACTACTCCATCGACGTCTTCATCGCCTTCTACATCACCACCAGACTCTTTTTGTACTACCACACCTTGGCGAACACGCGGGCCTATCAGCAGAGCCGGAGGGCCCGGATCTGGTTTCCAATGTTTTCGTTTTTTGAGTGCAACGTCAACGGTACTGTTCCCAACGAGTACTGCTGGCCCTTTGCGAGGCCGACTCTGCTGAAAAGATTGATTGGATAAAGAGGAGTGGGCTTCGCTCACGCTGGCCTGAAGTGGTTTGTGACTGGCTTGCTACAAGAACGGCTGGGGAAAGAAAGGAAGAAGGGGATTCCTCTGGCCCCCGTGACCGTCCTGTACCCCCCCGGCCCGAGGTGTTTCCCACCAGGCCAAGAGAGGCCGTTTGTTGCTTAACATGCCGTGGGAGTGGTTACCCAGAATGAGGCTCTGTATTAAATACATTTAACATTTAGGTTGCTACTAACTCAACTTGTTTGTTGTAGGCCTCCTACTGAAGGTAAAGGAATGGCCTCGGATCCAGATTATCCTCAAGTACTACCTAGTTAGGGTTTGGTTTGGTTTCTTTAAGCGGACTAGCTAATGCAAGTGTCATAGTTCTACAGTGTTCGCTGAAAAGGAGAGTGAAGGTATGTTTTGGGAGGTGGGGGGGGGGAGAGAACTTGGCACCTTCAGAAAGAGGGGGTCTTTCTCCCACAGATCGGAGCAGGACGAGACGTGTCCGTTGCAGGAGGGGCATGTGAGAGAAGTGATGTCACACACACACACGCCCTGGCGCTTAGTACCACAAAGGGGACAATGAGGTGGGCGTAACTGGTTAGGGGGAAATGATTTTATAGCGTCCTGATGCCCAGCGGTTTCCTTGTTTACATTTCAGTAACTCTGTTAGAAATAAATGTTTTATCTTTTGACGATGAGGTTGACTTCGTCTTAGTGCCACATACTCTTCCTTTGTGAGGCAGTATGAAACCCGCCGCGGCCTATGCCGGCTTTGAAAACGACGCTGCTAGCAGACTAGAGCAACGCTGACTGATAGAATAGTGGGTCAAGAGAAGAGCAGGTTTTTAACTTTGTTTTCGGGCGGAGGTGTTAGACGTCACTGACTTTTGGCAGTAGAGCCAATGCAGTTCAGGCAGTCAAGAGAAGAGCAGGTTTTTAACTTTGTTATCGGGCAGAGGTGTTAGACGTTCAGGCAATTTTGTCTCCCCTCCCCGTCCTTGGGTTGGATCTTGCAGGTCCGTTCTGCTAGTGGGAGGTGTTTTTCTCCAGTGGAAGGAGCCTTCTTTCCGCGGGAAGTGTCTCTGAGAGTGGAACCGATCCGTGGGACCCAGGCCAGCACAAAGGACTCCCGTCCGTTCTGCCTTGAAGTGGCAGATGCCAAAATAGGGTGGGCCACCTGAGGGGCCACGCTGGAAAGGACGAGTCCACCCATGAGTATTTTTGATGTGCTCTAGACACACACACACACACACCCGTGCCTACTGCCCGGCATTCTGACGCTCTCCGCATTTCTTACATCTGGGCTCTCTTCTGACGTCAGGCTTGGACTGGGTGGGAAATGCCGGAGGAGGAAGCCTTGGTATCGCGTGGGGTGTTGAGCTGCTTTTCTCATTCAGGCATGACTTGCTCGGAAGCCCTTCTTACAGTTTGGAGATCAGCAGGCCGGCACAGATGTTTAGCCCTAAGATGTGTCTGACAGTGTGTTCAGGGAATGCTCTGTTCTTACAGATAAGCTGCTTGTTTACAGCGCTTGAAGTCGAAGTCTCTGTGGTGCGTCTCTGTTTCTTTTCGAGAGTTCGTGGGCTTGCGGGAGGGGCAGGAACAGATCCTGGAGTCCTGAAACCACAGGACGTGGCAGTCAAGCTAGCTCCGATTTTTCTTCAGGAATTAGCGCTGATAGAAATTAATCAGGTCTGCACTTAATCTTCTAAGCCACCCATGAATGGAAAATTGTAGTTGGGAGTTCCAGATGGTTGAAATGAGTTTGGGGGGGGGGGGGGGAAGAGGTTTAAATGACTTGGTTTAAAGTGGCACACTGACTCAAGAGTGGGTTCGTTTGCGTTATTTTAAAATAGCCTCTGCCTTCCAAAGTTGGCGTGCAAGATACATCACAAGCTGTTCCTATTTTGTATTAACATTTGTTACCTGTATTAATGTGTGTTTGTTCAAAATTTCTCTGCCCACACAGCTGGGCACTGTTTTAAGATTTGTTGAAGCGGTCACTCTTACAATCCCATAAAACCCCCAAGGGGGTGTGCGTGTTCATGTGTCACTTAATGTTACCACACTGGCATTCATGTTTTGGTTAAAGACTCATTTTTCAAAAGATAATACAATGCAATTTGTCTCTTCGGCACAAAATAGCCGATCAGCTCCTTCCAGTGTTTTCAGGCAGGCATTCTATTGCCCCCGGCAGCCTTTTGTCCAAAGCCTGTCCCTTCTTGCTAAGCGAGACTCATAAAGTAGACTTTGCTTTTAGCGGGGAGTGTGCCTGCAGGTAATTTCTAATGAGAAGCCGCAGGTGTTCATCTTAAGGCCTTTGCTTCTGGAATTGGAGAGGCAAGCGCATCTATTTCTTCCAGTTCCCGTGGGAAGCACTTCTGCAAACGGATCATCATTTGCCTTCCAAAAACGCTCTAGTTGAACAAGAAATTCAGAGGCCATTCTGGAAGTGTGTGGTGGTATTAAAATGTTCCCGTTTTAGATACTAGCAATGTTGTGAAGGTTCACAGATCTTCATGTTGGAAGTATCTGCAGACCAGCTCTACTGACTTAATGCAGCGATGCGGTATTTATTGACCATTCTGATATTCTGTTCGATGTGCCACTTGAAGAGGGAGCGATGGCCGTCTTGGAGTATCTCTTGCTCCCACTGTCACAGATTGTGATGCGTGGCAGAGGTAGCCTCCTGTAACTAAATGTGCTTTGTGATCCTTTCCTTTTTAGGCATTGGCTTTTGGGTTGCACTGAAGAGTGTCGGGACTCCTAGTTTGTGTTGATTGAGGGCTGACGAAGTAGCCTACCAGTAAACTTAAACATACCACAGTAGCATGCTTATCCAAAGAGTTGGTGTCTCAAATGCCACCTGTTGTAAAGGCAGTAAATACTAACGTGAGAGAGTGTTGTTGTTCTTCCAAAGAGAATACGAGAAAAGAGGGACTTGAGATAGCTCCCCACGCTTCTCCGCGTCTTTGCTACAAGGGGAAAGTGGAAAATGCAGCTTGCTAGCAATGCCTTCCTAAGGAGAGATCTGCCCTTCGGAGTCCACTGAAGTCAACTGACTTAAAGGGGTGCAGGTCAACTTAAGACGGTGTCGTCAGACATGGAGTTCTGTTGTTGAAACGGTTCTTAACGATCTGTGTCTGGGAATCCCATGGCTGGCCAGCTAAGCTTAGTGTTGCACTCACAGCAACACAGTGATACCGCTTTACAGCTTGGAGGCATCGTGGCATCGTAAGCAGGATTGGATAGTTTGAATTCGAATTAACAGTGCCCCCCATCCCCCCCGGTCCAGTCAAGTATACTGTGCCTGTACTATAATAGGTAATGGGTTGGATCCGGATTTCTGCTGATTCACCCTTCCTGCTGCAGCCCCCCCTCCCTTTGTTCCTCAGGGTCCCCAATCCCCCAGAAGCAGCGCTTTGGGCTGTGGTAAGAGGGGGCAAGCAGGAAAGCTCCATTCCGCTGATGAAAAGTTTACCCTGGATCCAGCCTGTTGTTGCTTGCTGTGTAATGCAATCCTGTGCTTGATGACGACAGCCAAACTCCTCTTCTGGGCTGTGGCTTGGAGTGGGAAGGGGGGGGGGATGCTATGCATATAGAAAATTAGCAGTTCCAGGGAGACGGTTTCTAAAACAGCCATCTCTCTAATGTGTCTATTCCTGTGTTCAGGGTATTGTCCTGTACAGAGGAACGCTCAGCATAGGGTCTCGCCTGTAGTCTGAAATGGTACAGGCCATACCTGTGACCGCTTCCTTGCGAGTGAAGCCTTCGTTCAGAGGAACTGATTTCCAGTTAAGTGCAGCGTTGCTGTTTTAGGTGCTCCTTACGTTTTGTTTTTTTATTTTGCGTTACGAAGGGGAAAGGGCTTTGAAGAAGACACCAGAAAGCTTAACACCTATTCTTGAACCAGCAACACAGTGCTTGAGGACTCACTTCATAAGTACAACGTATATTTCCCCAAATGTAAGCTATTCCTGATACTAGAGCTGTTTTAAACTTCAGGTTCTAATCCGAATAGCCATCCTGTGGAATATTGTTTTAAATATTTACCCATATATTCTCAGTCACGTCATCCTTATTGTACAACTTACCCATTCTGAGACAAGATAAATGACGTATCAGCTCTCCCCGAAACGTTCTTTATTGTGGAGTAGAACATGGCGTGGAAAACTCACAATCAGTTTTCTATTGGGGCCCTCCCAAAAAATTAGATTACTTGATGAAAGTGAACATAATACACTTACGTCTGCATCTTCCAGGTTGTACCGTTCTGTTTGGAATATACCGATGTTTGAGAAATGCGGTAATAAAGCAGATATAAGACTGGACCCCACGGATCTATTCTGTGCCTTGCCCTGATTGTAGAAGTGGTTCTGCTAGAAGAAGAATCTCTCAACATCAGGGGAAGGCACCTCTCCCCCCCCCTCCCCCCACTTGCAGGATGGACCTGCGAAGGCCAACTCATGGCTTGGTGGAATGCAGAGCTTACAAGCGCCAAGAAATAAAGGGCTACCTCCTGTGTCCACAAAGTAGCCACCTTATGAAGTCCTCTTTATCCACTTGGGTCCGAGTGCACACCAAATCTTGCCCGCCTTTGGAATCAAAACGCTTTCCAACTTGAGGCACCTTAGTTATAGTGGATATGGAGCCATGATGAAGACCGAAACTTTCCTTGCTACTCATGCATTGGAAGGTTTCTGATTGTATACTGGTTGTTGAGGACCACTGGGGAATCTCTTGAGTCCTAATTTATTAAAGGCAGTTCATGTTTTGGATTGTTGCCCTGCTAAGTTACTGCAGAATGGGTAGTCAGACTAAAATTATCTTAATTGCAAAGCCTCTCCTCAAAGGTCCCAGGTTTGAAAAAAAAAAATCCATCAGTGGGATGAATCAGCTCTGTGCATTGCTGTTCTTCCGCTACTTAAATGGACTGTCCTGTGAAAATTCACTGGGCCTTCTAGTGGCAGGCGGTCAAAATGCTGAAATGCTCAGGCGGTTCCGTATTTCAACAGGAGCATACTCTGTCGCTGCAAAGTTCTCTGTGAACCATATAAAAGTGCTGTGCTGGGGGGTTAATTAGGGCTTGATTGAGATGTGCAAAATATTAAAATACTGTCCATTTTCAGAACGGACTTGGGGGCTTCTAGTCTGGATTTGGGGATGGGGTGGTTTGAGCAAATTGGCTCCGGCCTGCCAAACAAGCTAACACCACCCTGCGCTTGGATTTAGAATAGATTCCGGGTCCCAAGAGAGTCTAAGAATGTTGTTGGGTTCTCTGGGTAGCCGGGGGTAACCTGTGGCATTACTGGCAGGGTTCAGGCCTCGGCTTTTGTCCAGGGGTCCCCGGAGAAGTCCCATATCTTTTTAAAGGTTTCGTTCTACAGTCCTGCATCCCCGTCATCCACGAACGGAGTGACATATACACCGTGGTTGCGTTATCTTTTTTTGGCCTAGCCATGGAAAGAAGAGAAAGGGTGGGTGGTCTGCCGTTGGTCCCTTGATGCTCAGCACAAACCATTGACTTTGGCTCTCTCTCTGTGTCTCTCCCCTGCTCTCGAAGAACATAGTATTATTTGAAAGCTTGAACGCTCCTGTGGCAGAAAGTTTGAAGCACAGAAGCTGTGTAAATAAGAGATTTCTCGGATTTAAAACCAGATTTAATTTATATTGTTTTGTATCTGTTGTATTAAACAACTAAAGTATTAAATAAAAAGGACGAAGATGAGTTGAAAAGTTTGAATGACTGTAATGTGGTGTTTTTCATACTGTTTTTGCTGAGATGTTTCATCATCGGACTTTTAACACTGGTGGTAAGTGTTGGGATTCTGAACTTCACAGGGGCCAAAAGAGGAAGTCTTTCCAAGGGTGATGGGAAAGGCTGCTGTGAACCGAATGTG